CTGTTGATACCGAGCTACCGAGGCCGAGCCGTCGTGTCCGCTGATTATTTGCGAGATATTGTTGAGTGGTGCGGCCTGACCGCACCTGGCGCCCAAAAAGATACGATACCGAGCAATCAGTGATACCGAGCAAGTATTGAGAGAACGGAGAGCGGCACGACGAGGTTGCGCAGCAGTCTCTCTCGCACTCTCTCTCTCGTTTGACAAGAGAGGACGGAGAGACGGTCGCAGTATATACAATGATATTAATAAAAAATAAAAAATAAACGTTTCGGCTGTTACCTCAGCCTTCTTCAGTAAATATATAAAAAATAAAATTAAGAAATATTACGCATTAGAGTCTATTTTGTAATGAACCTTTGGTTTGATGAGTCATTAAATTTATATTGGGTGACGCTTATATCATTTATTAAAAATGGATATTGTTTTTGATCGGCTAACCATTTTTTAACTGAGATGGTAACTTTTAAATATGTCAAAAACATGCAAACGAGCTCACTGTTGTTATTAGATCAAGTTGACAGTCCATTCCACGTCATCAATCCTTTTGCACATTATTAGTTGAGAATATCATCAGAACTGCTTAATATAAGAATTGAAACAATTAGATGTTATCCAGCATCAAAAAGTTAGTCCCCATCATCAAGCATATTTCCGAATAGGTTCATCATTGTAGTGTATTTCACCGTGTTTGTCTAAGTATATTTTATTTTTTTGGTATATTAATTTATATTAATTAGTTATTTTTTATATGAAAGATCTTGATTATGATTAAAAGTGCTTACTTAAATTGATGAGTAGTCAAGATTCCGCCAAGTCAATGTGTTCATTATACAGTGTCACAATATGATATGTCGAATTCAAACCGTGACTCCTATTATTATTATTATTTATTTATACGACATATTATTTATTTATGTGTTGACATTACATCTCTAACTAATTTAATATGCTCGTTATGGTTGACCCTGTCTTTCTAAATCTTATTTTTATAATATTACACGAGCCTTGTCTTTAAATATCTAATTTTAATCTTTATTAAATTTAAATAACGCAGGCCTTATAATGCGTAATATTCTCAGTAACACTAATTATCGTAAATTATATTATGATTTTGGATTTATCCAGAAACACTATGGCGAATACACATTGTACAACCTTAAAAAATGGATTAACGCTAATTACAAACTCCTTGAAGCAAGATCTAAATTGTATTTTCTAAAGTCTTGTATGAACCATAAGATTTATGTGTTGACATTACATCTCTAACTAATTTAATATGCTCGTTATGGTTGACCCTGTCTTTCTAAATCTTATTTTTATAATATTACACGAGCCTTGTCTTTAAATATTTAATTTTAATCTTTATTAAATTACCGTCGCATTTAACTAACATTGGAAAAACACAATTTAACATTCACAATTATAAACTGATAAATAAATTGACAAGAATACAGCACAAATTCAAAACAGAAATTTTAAAAATAGAAATTTATGATTTGTACAGAGTTGTCGACACTCTACAAAGAGAAATATTACAATTTTTACATAAGTTATCCATTTCTATCCCTATTTATGTGTGGCAATCAATAATTATATATCAAAGAAACTCATTTAATAAATGTAAAGAAAGATTATATAAGACCCACTTAAAGAAATTCATGTGGTTAAAAAACAAAAAAATTATTGATCATATGAAAAAAATTCAACCTATTCATTATATTTGCAGGTTAAATAAGGAAACATCACAACCAATCAAATATACTAAAAACTTAACCACTAAGAGTTCTAACAAAACAATCATAGACATCCATATTGATCCCAAGTCCTCTATTATTAATGATATTGACCCATTAAACAAGACTAATAATAAATGGTTCATTAATTACTAACACAGAAATCCCACCAAAAGTATCTAATCTACAAATGGGTAGTAATTTCAACCTTCCTATCTCTAATAAAAAAACTGCCATACATGAATTTATCAAAGATTTGGAAGCTAATGGGAAAAGAAATAATATACAGAACCTTAGAACTATTAGGAATATTGCAATCCCCCAATTTAATTATTATCTACATAATTTTCATAAAAAGAATTTAATAAATGAAAAAATTATTGATATGTACAATACCACTTTAAAATTTTGCAAAAAAAACAATAATATAATATTTACGCGATCTGACAAAGGGAATGTGACAGTTGCAATGGAACGGGATTTTTATAATAATAAAGTAACTGAACTTCTTACATATTTTAACACTTACTGCGTGGTCAATAAGAATCCCATCTTAAAAATTGAAAGAGAACTTAATTACATTATCAAAAATTTGCTAACAAAAGGATACATTTCAAAAAAAGAATATTATTTCATGCACTCTAGTGATTCCATACTACCAAAAGCTTACGGTCTCCCTAAAATTCACAAGCAGAACATTCCCTTCAGAATTATTGTATCATCTATTAATACGACTCTTTATAATATAGCTACATATATTCACAATGTATTGTCACAAAGCCTTCCCCCACCAAAAAGCCATATAAATAATAGTTTTGAATTGTGCAGGATTCTTACTGGCAAAAAGTTAAGGAATTCAGAAATAATAATATCATTAGATGTTGTCTCTCTCTTCACCAATGTACCTATCAACCTTGTGATAAATAGTGTTAATAATAGATGGGAGTATATTAAGTCACAGACAAAAATTCCAAAAGAACAATTTATAAAATGTATTAGAATTCGTCTTGTCATCTACATACTTTACATTTAACAATATAATCTATAAACAAATTTTCGGTACCCCCATGGGATCACCATTATCGCCCATAATAGCTGATTTAATAATGGAAGATTTGGAAAATTCTGTTCTTGACTTGATTAATATCGACATCCTATTTTATTATAGATACGTTGATGATATCATTATGACAGTTCTTGAGGAGAAGGTTGATTTGATTTTGGATTCTTTTAACAAATACCATGACAGACTTAAATTCACATTGGAATATGAGGATAACCGTTGTTTAAATTTCTTAAATGTATCATTGAAATTAATTAACAATACCATTTTTGTTGATTGGTTTCAGAAAAAAACATTTTCTGGAAGAACTCTTTCCTATTACTCTAAGCATCCTTTCTGCCAAAAAAGGCATTGTTTATAACTTAGTAGATAGAGCTCTTCTTCTTTCACATCCAGAATTTCATAAGAAGAATATAAATTCAATCATAACTATCTTACGTAACAACGGTTACCCTTTAGAATTTATTTTCTCCACTATTAATCAAAGGATTAAGTATCTTATTACTTCCAAACTAAATATCTTGACTAATGATAATAATATAACTAAGGTTCCTGAAATAGCTGGAGATAATGAAAAAAAGAAATTCTTTGTTATTCCTTATGTGGATAACATTTCTGACAAAATCGCATCATCTATCAAAAAATCAGAAATGACCATAGGTTATCGTTGTCTTAATAAACTCAATCGATTTATGAAGGTTCATAAAGATAAAAATCAATTTTCAACTAATTCCAATGTTATTTATAAGATCTCATGTTGCGATTGCGATGCGACATATGTTGGCCAAACCAAAAGACAACTTAAAACGAGAGTTAAAGAACATGTAAATAATATAAAGTTAAATTCGTCAAGACACTCGGTCATCTCGGAACATATTCTTAATTACCAACACTCATTTAATTGGGAAGACAAAAATTTTAGATTCCAAATCTAATTTTCAGAAGAGAAATGTTTTTGAAATGATTCATATAAAAGAACAAAAAAACGGTCTAAACTTAAAAAAAGATACCGATATGCTTGACAAGTCATATTTTGACATTCTACAAGAATTGTCGTATAAATAAATAATAATAATAATAGGAGTCACGATTTGAATTCGACATATCATATTGTGACACTGTATAATGAACACATTGACTTGGCGGAATCTTGACTACTCATCAATTTAAGTAAGCACTTTTAATCATAATCAAGATCTTTTATATAAAAAATAACTAATTAATATAAATTAATATACCAAAAAAATAAAAATATACTTAGACAAACACGGTGAAATACACTACAATGATGAACCTATTCGGAAATATGCTTGATGATGGGGACTAACTTTTTGATGCTGGATAACATCTAATTGTTTCAATTCTCATATTAAGCAGTTCTAATGATATTCTCAACTAATAATGTGCAAAAGGATTGATGACGTGGAATGGACTGTCAACTTGATCTAATAACAACAGTGAGCTCGTTTGCATGTTTTTTGACATATTTAAAAGTTACCATCTCAGTTAAAAAATGGTTAGCCGATCAAAAACAATATCTATTTTTAATAAATGATATAAGCGTCACCCAATATAAATTTAATGACTCATCAAACTAAAGGTTCATTATAAAATAGACTCTAATGCGTAATATTTCTTGATTTTATTCTTTATATATTTACTGAAGAAGGCTGAGGTAACAGCCGAAACGTTTATTTTTTATTTTTTATTAATATCATTGTATATACTAACAAATAAAGTAATTATGTGTTGACATTACATCTCTAACTAATTTAATATGCTCGTTATGGTTGGCCCTGTCTTTCTAAATCTTATTTTTATAATATTACACGAGCCTTGTCTTTAAATATCTAATTTTAATCTTTATTAAATTAAAAAAAAATAATTGTTGCAAAAAACATTTTATACTTCTAATGTTATAATTCAATCATGACATTGAGGATATAGAGGAGGAATCTTTTAATAAGAAAGATCTACTTTTGTTATCAAACTTCTTCATTAATTGCAGAATACAAATAATAATTATACAAAATTTTGAAATAAATTAAATATTTAGTTTTTATTTGAATTTATTAAACATTTTTAACTATTTTTTTGCAACATTCTTTAATATCTCATTTTAAGATATTATTACTTTTAAAAAAAATGTAGAAATGCATTCTACAAACATTTCTTTAATGATATATTACAAAAATTCAAATAAAATTAATTTATATTAGTTTTCTTTATTATAAAGATGCAATTGTTAAGATAATAAATTATGACTAGAAATATTAAAGAATGAAGAAGTAAAAATTAAAAAGAAAAGTTTAAGATAACTTTCTTTAAACTTTTATGCGATCTGCCAAAGAACAGGATAAACCAGTATTATCTGGTTCTACATTGAGTTCCTTTACAATCCCATCATCAACAACCATAGAATAACGTTTGCTACGCTTGCCTCCTAAAACCTGCAGATCTATACCAAGATCTATAGCATCTGTGAAATCTCCTTTCGGATCAGCTAACATTCGTATCTAACAATAGAAATGATTTCTTTAGGAGACAAATAGAAAGAAACAGAGAAAGAGAAAGAAAGAGAAATCAATTACAAGATTAACTACAATAAAATAATCAATTATAACTAATTATTTTCTTCATTTAATAAGTTTTACAATTAATTATACCTTTCCTGTTGCATCATGTTCTTTTCCCCAAGCTGCCATAACAAAGGGATCATTAACACTAATACAAAAGATTTCTGAAATTCCCTTCAATTTTAGTTCACCTGCTTTTGCAACATAACCAGGAAGATGGGTCTAAAAATTAAATTAATAATTAATGAGTATGTTATATATAGAACAACTCTAATGTATATCTAAAAGATTATTATTTTATCACATGCATATGTAACATTTATATTGTGTAAAATATATATATATACATATAAATGATTTTATATTATAATAATATAGGAGCATTGTAGGGTTTTTTAAAATATATACAGAATAATTCAGACCACCTGTGCCAGCCGAATATTTCGAAAAGGATCGATAATGAGAATGAAAGTTATAAGTATACCAAATTGAATGACTTAAAATAACCTCTTAATGATCATATCAGTTTGACTGTGAATGGCATTATCAAGGTCATGTAAAGGTCACCTTCAATTTTTTTAATGGAACCCTTATTTTTTATTACATATTTTTGTAGTTTATTTCAAGAGCTTTCCAAAACACTGTAATAAAATATTTTTTCATTAAGTATTTTTCAAGTAATTAAAGTTTAAAGTTGACAATTTGTTTTATTATATATATATATATATATATGTATATATTATATATATACATTCAATTTTTTAAATAGAATTCCCTATTTTTTTATTACATATCTTGTAGCTTTTCTTGAGAGATTTCCAAAACACTGTGTGTGTATATATATATATATATATAGCTACAAGATATGTAATGAAAAAATAGGGAATTCTATTTAAAAAATTGAAGGTGACCTTCACGTGACTTTGACGACGCCATTCAAGGTCAAATTGATATGACTGATCATTAAATAGGTTATTTTAAGCCATTCAAATTGATATACTTATATCTTCATTATCGTCGATCGTTTTCAAAATATTCAGCTGGCACGGGTGGTCTGAATTACCCTGTATATAAAAAAAAACAGTAAATAATAATTCAGTTACAAGCCAAATAAATAAGTAATCTAGAGATAGAATAAAACTGCAATGTATAGTTAATATTAAATTTGTGTATTCGTTAAGAATTAAATCTAAACAAATTCTATATTTCAACTATACTTAGTTCACATTTCATTGGCTTCTTATTGTTTCATTTGCGCTTTTAAAAAATTGATATCTATACAATTTAAATTATTTGCAACGTTCATGTAGCAGTTATATCTACTTAATATTTTGCTATACTAATTTTGTCAAAAAATGTTTATATCAAGGGAGACTAAGTATAATCAAAACATATAGATTTAATTTTTAATCAAATAAAGTAATTCAATATTAATTAAATTTTATACATTGCTGTTTTATTCTATCTCTGTTGCTTGTTTAGCTGGACTGTAACTTTGAATTAGTGCATTGCAATACACGAGCCTAGTTAGTTAATAATTTCATTTCATTAAGAGTAAAATAATTTTAAAATTCTTACTTTTGAACAGCCAGGTGTAAATGCACCTGGTACACCAAATATAATGATTTTCTTCCCAGCTGCAGCCTGTGCTAAATTCACCTTATCTGCTGGTGTATTCTCAAAGAGATCCACAGTGGGCAATTTATCTCCAACCTTAAGTTATATATATATATATATTATTATTTTGCTTTCATAAAAGATGCTATAATTATATTATATTATATTATATTAAATGTGATAATATATATTTATCTATTTCAATATTTATTCATTTCACTTAAATTGAAGAAATTTTACTAATAATTATATTTTAAAATAAAATGTATATGTGTAAATCACATATATATGTTAACTGTACAAATATATTTTATTTGCATAGACTAAATTGACATTACACTACCTTTTTTCAATTCATATGTTACAACTTATAATTATTGCCATGATAATGCAATAGACAATTAATCTAAATTAAGAAAAAAAACAACATTGTTCTAACATAACAGTTATTAACAATGTTGAAAGGGTTGTTTACAATAAACATTTTATCTATAGCAATCAGCTATATATAAATTTTGTATTAACTATAATTACGATAATTATCTATATTTAGTTCGAATATATGATTAGATTTTTATATAGATACAGACAAATCTCTATTAAAAGAATTAAATACTTACAGCAATAACCATTTTTTGTGATGATATATAAAAACTTCGTCCAAAACAATCAAATGCCGATTTTTCTGCGTTAACGAAAATAAGACGTCTTATTAGCTGATTCATGTCAAGTACAATTAATAGTAGAGAAGGAGCAGGAGACGTGTAAAAAATCCGTATTAAAGGCTACTGCACAACTGCACATTTCCCATAATCGTAACCCCAGGGTACCTCTTAAGGCCGTTCTACAATGGAGTATCGTAGGTGATAGTCGTAAGAAATTGACCTATCACAATCGATTATTTTTGAAATAATCGACTGTGGTTTGTCAATTTCTTACAACTACAGCCTCCATTGTAGAAGGCCTATTGTAAGCAAATTGATCCAATCACAGTCGATTATTCTTCTCACATTCAACTATGATTGGATCAATTTTCTTACGATCTACAATTCTACGACTAATATAAACTCGGCTTAAATCTATACGTTACGATGTCGTAAGAAGCTTACGACAGACATTACGATAGATGTAGATCGGTCATAACAGCTGTTGTATGCTTATCGTATGAGTTGGTTCAACTTCAACTCTAAGGGTGCGATTACATGGACGCGCGGAAACGCGGAAACGCGGAAACGCGGAAGAGAAAGTAACTAAACTTTACTAGAGTCCCGCATTTCCGCGCGTTCCGTTCCGTCTGTTTTGATTGCCTTATATTACATGGAGTACATTTTGAGCGGAAAAGCGGAACGGTATAGTGACAAATAGACATTTGTATTAATTTTTAAATTTATATTTACTTAATTCATTGTAATTCCTTTTAATATGTTCATCTTTTCAACTTATCTATTGAATACAAGCATTTTAATCAATAAATATAGTTAAATATTAATATTTTATAATTCCTCGTTCCGCTTTTCCGCTCAAAATGTGCTCCATGTAATATAAGGCAATCAAAACAGACGGAACGGAACGCGCGGAAATGCGGGACTCTAGTAAAGTTTAGTTACTTTCTCTTCCGCGTTTCCGCGTTTCCGCGTTTCCGCGCGTCCATGTAATCGCACCCTAACGATTGCGACGATAATTGCGACGCTTGTCTGTCAATTGTTCTCAAATCAATAACCACAATTGAAAATTTGTATCCTGTCGAGAAGGATATAAAACGGTTATCTGTTACGATTTATGTAGACAGACAATGCTTACGGGTGCCGTCACATGAGGCGTAATTTGCGTTAAGTGTAAAGCGGGGAGCACACACTCTTGTATAAGCGCATAAGCATATGCAGAAGAAATTCGATTGGTTGAATTTTTTATGCATACGTTTATAGACCAATCAAGATTCTTATGCTTGCTTATGCGCCTATGCAAAAGTGTGTGTTCCCCGCTTTACGATAGATGTAGATGTACCTTTATGCGGAGTCTACAATGGCAAAAAATATAGATGAGTATAGAAGCACTGTATTAAAATGCTATAGATAGTACAGTATACGTGACGTAAACTATAGCAAAGTACCCCAGCTCGTGCGACCGCGGAGTACAGAGAACCGTGCTTTTATACTCATTTATATTCTTTCGTATCGAGTCGCAGTTTGATGAAAAAGCGCCTTAAAGAGAAAGCGACTGAAGCGGCGAGGCATCGTTCGACGACAGATGGCAGAATGTCTCTAGTAACCTTTCACATGTTACGTTGCCAAGGTTTGAGGAAGCTCGTTATTCCGTTCCGATTCGTAGCGACCGGCGGATCGGCTTACTCGAAAGAATTTACTGCATCTGTAAGATTTCTTCAAAATATGTACACAACTTCTGAGAGGGGTGCTCTCAACAGCACGGACTACAGGATATTTTTCAGTGAGTAAACATAATTTGCATGTATATACATATGTGATATGATACGATGCGATAGATATGGATCGCCGACAATCGCGGAAGTCGATGAAAACTATAACTCAAGGTTGAGGTCAAGACCGCACATTTTTCCACGCAATGTACTATTAGTATTACATTTTCAATGTATCTTATATAATCTAACAAGTCTCAAATGATACATCATTACGTTAAGTCTCGTGTATATTCTGATATTGAATAATAAAAAGGATTTAAATTTATATAGCACATGTGGCCTATAATAGCATTTAACAATTCCATATTTGTTATTTATAAAAATAAAAATTAAAAGAAATTGTTTAAATTAAAAAGAAATTAATTAAAAAAATTTTTTTTTTAATTTAAATTTAATTTATAAAAATTTTATTTGTTATTTTTAATACTAGAATTTTTAAACAGAAACCGTGCTAGGAGCTTTGATAATTAGACATTAATATTATTTTTAGCATTAATAAATATTAATTAATTTATTAATTTAATTTATGGAAAAACACATTGAAAATGAGAAAATATAGTGTTGATTGCGTTCTATTTATTACATGTAATATATATTATATATGTATAGTGTCATAAAGTGTGTGTTACAAATTGTTCTTTATTTATAAAATTTGTATTTTATTAAATTTAAATTTAATTAATTATAGCCACTACTGGAGATATAAACTTGAATTTTTTTAAAGTACCTGAAAATTTGATGTATAAAAACATATTGGTTTTTAAGAAACAAAAGAGGATTTTTCATTTTTTTAGATAATTTTTTTATAAATCCATATAATTTTTTTTATATAAATCGATTCCTTGCAATATTATAACTACTAATTGCAAATTACATATATTTTTGGTAATCTTGTCTTAATACTTTTATGCATAGAATAATGAGATCAATGAATTAGTGTAAAGAAAACACACATAGTTGCTTTTAAGAAAAATTTGTAGCTACATGTTACAAATTACATATTTTTTTTTAAACAATTATTTGCTTTCTTTACATCAACTGATTGAGCTCATTATTCTGTTCATAAAAGTATTAAGGTAAGATTAACGAAAACTGAATAGTTATAAGATTTTTTTTTATATATTTTATGCTAAAAAATTATTAACTTCAAACCTTATAACTCAAAAAGTATTTAAAAGAAAAATATTTTATTATAGTGTTTTGGAAAAATAAGCTACAAGAATATGCAATGAAAAATAGTAGGTTCCCTTTAAGAAATTAAAAGTAACCGTTATGTAACCTTTAAACGACTATCAAAGGTCAATATTTTCTACTATCTTATGTTCTTTTCAAAGCCATACAAGTTCTGTTTGAAACATTTTTTTCTAAAATTACGTAATATCGAAATATTTGACTGTGAAAGTTAAAATGGGACACTTTGTATAAGAAAACCAGCTGATTTTATCAAAAGATTTAGTTTTATATAAGATTAGTGCAGGATGTTTAAACCTATAAAGTTTGTAATAAAGCATTTCTATTAAGAGTTTACAAGGCTCTGTAATATTGAATATAAATCTAAAGTGTATAAACAGGCAATAAGAGCCAAATCGCGGATGACAGTGCGTTATCCCAACGAAACTAAAATTTTTTTGTTAGAATTAAATACCTGTGCACAAAGCACCAAATTTTACTTGGTTACGGCCAAGACTTAAAATAGGAATAATCTCTATACATGAGATTTATAATTCCATACATCCCTTCTTTTCCCCTAAGGAAATAAATGCGAGAGAAAAATATAGAAATTCTATAGATTAATATGCATACATAATATATATACATATACATATATATATATATATATATATATATATATATATATATATTTTAAATATATATTATACAGGGCATATCTCTCAGAATTTGCGAGTGCACAGCGTAATTGTCCATGCAAAAAGGGCAACTTTTCTGTGACAAATTGCGTCTGAATACTATGTATTTTTTTAAATGAGGAAACTTATATGCTATTTAACTATTTCACTAATTTTGTTTTATAAGAACTATACGTAACATTAGAAATATCATCATTTTGAATGCAACTTACTTTTAATAGGAGAACATTTTCTAACAATCAATATCAAGGCAACGACTGAAAGTAAAATAAATAAATTAGATAGTATGTGAATAATTTTGATTATTATTCTAATGTTTTAAAAATGTTTGTGACCCTGAAAAGATTAAATGTTTTAGATTTTAGAGCATATACTCGAAATGCAGATCTTCCATTTGTATACACATATGTATTCTGTGGATCAGGTTTTCTTATGCATATTGTAGATCCTGCTAATCTTATTAATATTAATCTTCTTAATCTTGGATCAAAATTATTCACGTATTATCTAATCTACATATTTTATTTTTAGTTGTTGTTTAGTGATATTATAATTAGGAAACCGTTCTCTCTCTCTTATTATATAAGTTGTCTTCAAAATAGCGATTTTTAAATGATTATACAGGGTGTCCAGAAAATCGCCCGCAATACTTCGGGAGGTGATTTGGGACCTCAAAAAAAAAGAAAAATATGTTTTGTAAACATAGGTCCGGAAATAAGTTGTTTCCGAGTTATAGCCACTTTTATTTAATTTTTAAAATTTTATTTTTTAATTTTTTTAATTTTTTGATATTTGTAAATACGATTATATAATTTTAAAAATCAAGGATAAACATGAATAAATATTTAAATTAAATAAAATGTTCAAAATGGCCACCTTTAACACGAATGCAGGCTCTTAATCTATCAAATAAGGAATTCCGAACTCTTTGAAAAACATTTAGATCTTTCCTTTGAATTCATGAATTATTTTTTGTCTTAAGTCAGGATTATTATTGGAAATATTATTTAATATAATTTAAAATTGAAAAAAATTAAAAAATAAAATTAAATAAAACTCGGAAACGACTTATTTCCGGACCTATGTTTATATAACATTTTTTTCTTCTTTTTGGGTCCCAAATCACCTCCCGAAGTATTGCGGGCGATTTTCTGGACACCCTGTATATAGTTTTTATATATCTTTAATAAAATAGTAAAATAGTAAAATAGGGCGCATAAAAAGTCACAAACACACATACACATATATGTGTGTGTATGTATATTTTTACCTGTACATATTTTTCCAAGTCATATTATTGTTTTTATATTAAAACTTTGAGATATTTAAATTGTTGAAACTAATCAGCTGTCATTTTTTAATACATGCAGTTATTGAGAAAACAAAAATTGTGTTAAGGGGATCCTCAGCAAATGACGAATACCGACAAAATAACAGCACACATATCCAAAACATATGCACGTATACATAACGCACGCACACATACGTATGAATCGTATTTCTAATTACAAATTTTTATTAGACTTCTAATCTAAGTTTAGAGGATAACAGTGCTTTCTTTCGTGTTCTCTAATTCCAGGGAATGTGCATTTTTATTCGAACAAAGTGCATATGTTTTATATAAAGCACATATTATGATGAGGTTGACAGTTCGTCTGCAATTCGAGATGTCAAATCGAGATGAAAATAAATAAGAAAAACTGTTATTTCTCATTTTTTATATCAAATCGAATTTCCCTGGGATTATTGATGCATGTATTGCAATCGTAGAGAAGCATTTTTAATTTTATCAAATTAAAAAAAAGATATACCAGAAGCACGAAAATATATAACTGCGTCGATAAAACAGAAATCATGAGGGATTCCCTTAAAAAGAGAAATGTTACAGTTTTTAATATATAAATAAAATGTTTGTATACCAGTTTATTTTATTGAAAAGAAGTAATAAAAAAATGCTAATAATCACATATGTAAGCTAATGATAAATATTCTCGAAATGCGCAGCATTTGAATTTGTAAAAAATTCTGTTCTTTTACGAAAATTCGTAAAAATTTTTTCTAACGTGTCATTTTTAATGTTACTAGATAACACAAGCGCACGCTTCGCGCGTGCTAAACAAACTTGCTCTTCGCGAGGGTACATAATTTTAATTTGATTTTCTGAATTTTAATTATGTACATAACTTTAATTCTCGAATTTTTATTATATACATAATTTTAATTCATCGAATTATTTTAAGTGATTATTAGCACTTTTAACTACTTTTTATCAATAAAATAAACTAATATACAAACATTTTATTTATGTCCATTAAAAACAGACTTTCTTCTTAATAACACAATTTTTAAAAAACTCCTCAAAGTTAAAAGTTGACCAGACTGGCAATAATTTTGTTTTCTCAATAACTGCATGCATTAAAAAATGACAGCTGATTAGTTTTAGCAATTTCCTATATAGGACACTGTACAAAATTATGTAGCGTTAAGAAAAAATTTTCAAAATTCATATGATAGATAGTACACACAGTACTCAGTAAAATAGTCTTATTGTTAGTAAACATAGGTCGAAAACTCAATTGTTTTAGAACTATAGATAATTTTATATGTATATTATCATAACAGACTTACTTAGTGGTTTTTACGTGTCATATATGAAGGTTTTTATCTTGGTGTTTGCAAACCGCTTATTTACAGATGTTCAACACATGTTTTTCTGACATTATAATGCACATTTGGCATTCTTTTCATGTTAGAGTTATGAACTCCTGAAAATTCTAAATTTGTCGGATTATTTGGCAAATAAGTTGGATTTGATTACTTCCAAGTCATTTATCGGCGAAGGACACTATGCTTCTCACATATTTTCATTAAAAAATCCAAGGAATTTAATGGCACGTAAGAATTTTCAGCGTATATTTTCTCGCCTCTGACGTCACAATTCCAACATAGTCGGCGAAGACTCAGGAGTTTTAAATCATAATCTGACCTGTTTGGTTAAGTCAGTCATGATATTAATATACAAAATTATATCTCTGAAATTGAGTTCTCGATTTATGTTTACTAAAACAGAGAGAGAGTATAAAACCTGGAAAACCTGGAATAACTCTGAAAAATCCTGGAATATTCATGGAATTTATTTTAAACTTAGGGAATTTAAAAAAAAATTGCTCTTTTGATTTTATTTCTAAATATACACAGAGAAAATTTTCTTTTAGAATTTACCTTGAAAATCATGGTAATCATGGGATAATATGGTATTGGAAGAATTTTATAAGAATTTTACTGATTAATATTTACCACAATAAAATATAAACTTGATTAATTTTACTATGTATATAGTAAAATTTATTATGTATCTATTAATATTTTTTATTGTGGTAAATATCAATCAGAGAAATTCTTATAAAATTTTTTCAACACCATATTATCCTAAGATTACCATGATTTTCAGGATAAATTCTAAGAGAAAATTCTTTCTGTGTACATTTAAAGAATATAAAATTTATTAGCGAGGTTGTTAAATTTAAAATGATCAAACTGCTATCAATGCAAGTTTTTATTAAAAGAAACAACGTTTCAACTCTGGAATTGGATCCTCTTTAGACTACAAAATTTTACATCGTATAAATTATAAAATTTTAAATACATATGGTATATAAATAACACTGTTGGACAAAGCGCAAATTAATACAATATAAACAGAAGAGTTATGAAACCGTAAAATACAGATGTACAAAAATAAATTTATCTGTCATTATGTCAAGCTTGGTTAAACATGAACTTGATGTTATCTATAATGATTCAATAAAAAAAAACAAGAATTTATTTTGGGTCCTTCTCAAACAAGGGTCGAAACGTCGTTCTTAATTTTATTTGATGTCTAACCAACAATAAAGATATTTTTTATGCCAGTTGGGTCGTTAAAAATTGTTTGATTTATTTTATTAATTACTGGCGGAAAAAACGAATTACTACTTATTATAAGATTTAAGTATACACCCTGTAACATTTCTTTACGTATTGTCAGTATTGTATATACGATATGGATGTTGAATGTTTTTTTAATACCTTCTATACATTATTCTTAATATTAATAATAACTTTTTTTACCAAAACATTTTTTTCTTATATACAGAAAATGATGTGGGTGTACCAATTTCACCCATGCATGACATTCCACTCTATGCTGATGAAAGCAATAAAATAATGAATATGATTGTTGAAATACCTCGATGGACAAATGCTAAAATGGAGATCTGTCTGAAAGAAACTTTGAATCCTATTAAACAAGATGTTAAGAATGGTAAATTAAGATTTGTTGCTAATTGTTTCCCTCATCATGGATACATATGGAATTATGGAGCTTTGCCACAGGTACATTTTTAATAATTGTATTTGTTATACATACATATATTAAATATTTTTAAATATTTATAAATAAATAGATAATATTTATAAATAAATAAAAAATTATAAATATATAATAATTCACTTGTTATATTAAAATTACTCGAAAATTACTAGAAAAATTGGTAATTTTAATTTTAGAAATTAAAATAAAAAGGTCTGTTCGGGTTTGTTCTTAATTTAAAGTTTGACAGAATATTGTGTTTTTTAAAGCAAATTTTGCTTATTATTTATCAAAATTATATGAATAATAATAGTTATTATTATTCATTTAATTATATAAGTATATATATATATATATATATATATATATATATTGTTACGTCCTCCGGACGTTCTTTCTCGCAAAAGACGTCTCTCGCACACACTCTCACTCACTCGCGGCTCGCGAAATAAATACACTCTCTTATGAAGAAATGATCCTTTATACAATGATGAAATACAATGACTAATGTACACGCGAAAGAAAGAAGATTGCTCTCTGGTCAAGTCACGTCCGTACGAGATGACAGCTAGACCAAAACTGTCATGGAGCCTGAAAACAACCACCGGGCGGTTGTCAATAAACAACCCCCCTTAACGATGAAGCTCCACGACACAAGGGATGATATTCAGGGGATGAAAGATCAGGGACGTAACACTGCCCCCCTTCTTCAAGATTGTCGTCCCGACAATCAAAAACAGAGGGCTATCCAACGCTGTACAATAACTCTGCATTCCGATGCCGACCTCAGGACTCCGACGAATTTTCTTGTTCTACCCTGGGCTCCTGCCACAGGTTACCAAACAATCCGCCATTCTGGATCCCGTCGCACATCCGTTGGACTATATTCGCCAATCCAAGTCCACAGTACAACTGTATCAATTGTCGATTCCAGGGCACCGACGAGTCTTCCTGCCCTACCCTGGGCTGCTGCCGCAGGTTACCGAGCGACTCCGTCAATTTGGTCCCAATCGACTTTCAAAATTCCTTGAAGATAAGTCCCAGTCTCCCTTCGTCCTCCGGTTCAGACAAGGGGGGGGGGGTATCTTCCGTGGACCCATCGTCCCTCATGGACTCCCCAAGTCCCTGTCTCGGCATTTGCCCAAAGTCCCGCGGGAAAACCACGGATCAAAAACCGCGGGCAAGACAGTCTTCTTAGAGTAGAATAAAGACGGATGAAGATTTTCTCCCTCGAAGACTAAGCTGGGAGATCAATTTTTCCGCCATTCAGGAAACTCTTCTCAGGTCAAAGACAAATTTCTTTCCAAATTGAAGACTCTGTAACGAAAAATAAAATGCGCAGTAACTTATTCTATTTTTTAAAATTAAAACATCCCCCCGAATTTTTAAATGAAAATCGACATTTTCGGGCTCCAATCTACTTAATTATTTTTCTAAACTTCTCTCGAGAAAAGGAGCTAATCTATCTTTCTTTCGTAACCCTCCCCTTGAATTATTTTTATGGCTTTTGCCCTTTCAATTGCCAAACTCAATGAGGTTATATTTTCTAATTGTAAAGTTCGTTTGACAAAATTATCATATATCGCTGAAATGAATTGCGCGCAGGCGATTTTATCTCGGATTTCGTGTGGGCACTCGGGATACGCAAGGCGAACCAATCTTTCAAGTTCCGAACCTAATGTTGCCAAATCTTCCCCAAACTTTTGTTTCCGATTTGTAAATTGAACGTAATAATTTTGTGATAAGAGTCCTTCTCCAAAACGCAATTCAAGTTTTGATTTTAATTCGTTGAATTCTAAATTGGACACGTTTTCTACCGTCTCTAATACTGAACGCGCTTTTCCCCTCAAATTCGAAGCGAGTGCAACAGTCTTTGTTGTATCATCCCAACTATTCGCTTGAGCAATTAAGTTAAACTGCGAGAAAAATTCACGAAGTGATACTGTCCCGTCATAAGTATCAGGTTTTAATTTGTACCCTAATATCGCGCGAAAATCGTTCTCCCTCTCATTTAAAAAATGCGTACCCGAATTTCCACACGTTCTATTATTAGAAGGACTTAGCTGTAGATTTTGTGGCCGGGAATGAATCTCCTTCAAGGCTAGAAGTTCCTCGTCGTGACGACGCAGCATCGCCGCAATTTCGTCCTCTCGACGAGTCTGTTCCTGTCGCATCTCTCGCATTTCAAGAAGGAGAACCCGAGCTGTAGATTCTGTTACCGCCGGTTCTCCTGCGACTTCCGGTAACGAGCCCGTTTGCTCTCCTGATTCCTCGCTGCCAGTCGTTCGAGACGGAGCTTGTGAACGGGTAATTCTCGGGGAATGTATCATTCTCGACGTTTCCGTTCCGCTGCGGTGAGATATTCCTTCGATCCGATCCCGGACGAGCCCCCAAAATGTTACGTCCTCCGGACGTTCTTTCTCGCAAAAGACGTCTCTCGCACACACTCTCACTCACTCGCGGCTCGCGAAATAAATACACTCTCTTATGAAGAAATGATCCTTTATACAATGATGAAATACAATGACTAATGTACACGCGAAAGAAAGAAGATTGCTCTCTGGTCAAGTCACGTCCGTACGAGATGACAGCTAGACCAAAACTGTCATGGAGCCTGAAAACAACCACCGGGCGGTTGTCAATAAACAACCCCCCTTAACGATGAAGCTCCACGACACAAGGGATGATATTCAGGGGATGAAAGATCAGGGACGTAACAATATATATATATATATATATATAATTATATAAGTGTGTGTGTGTGTGTGTGTGTGTGTGTGCGCGCGCGCGTGTGCGTGTGTGTGTGTGTGTATACACACACATGTGTATACACACACACATAAAAGATGTTTTACAATCTCCGTACAATATTTATGAGCATGTCTATAGAGTTAAAAATTCTAATATAAAAAATATATATATATAGTTATAAATATATGTACAAAATTATTATTTTTTCCATAATGTAATTTTATGACGATCTCATTGATTATTATTTGAATAATGAAAGAAATATAATTTGCATTAATTTACAATAAATACATATTATAAAACATATATTTAAATACATATGTAATCTCTTATTATGTTCCATTTATGTATATGTGTGTTTAATTCTATAATTATTCTATAATCATTAATTCTATAATTATTTTTGTTAATAATTTTTTTAAACATTATTAACATAAAGTTCCTTGGTCCTCGTCGCAGTCATCTTAAATTGTGACGTCAGAGATGAGAAAATACATGCTAAAAATCTTTGCGTGCCATTTTTAGATAAAAAGATATTTTGATGAAACAACTTTAGATGGCTTTAGGATATTTTTAAAATACTTCGAAAACCAATCTTTTTTCTTTATATAATCAATCTAAAAATGGTACGCCAAAATTTTCAACTTGTATTTTCTCGCTTCCGACGTCACAATTTAACATGGCCGCGGTAAGGACCAAGAAATCTTAACTACTAATTTTACTATTATCTTATTTACTAGTTAACATTATTTACTAGTTTCTTAAAAAAGATGTAATTTATAATTTAAACTAGTCAAAATTAGTTAAAAGAAGTTATTAACTAGTTAGTATATTTATCATTAGTTATTTTTATAAAATATAGTTATAATAGCACTGGTAATAATATATATAAATATAATGAGCAGACATGGGAAAATCCTGAAGTTTTGGATGAAGCAACAGGCTGTAAAGGTGACAATGATCCTATTGATGTTCTTGAAATAGGCTACAGGGTAAGAAATAATTGTTGGAATATATTTCGTATAAATAAATAATCTTATTCACCGCATAATAAATATTAACAAAATATTTACATTTATATAGGTTGCAAAACGAGGTGAAATATTACAAGTAAAAGTTCTTGGAACAGTGGCACTCATTGACGAGGGTAAATAAAGTACCCAATTTGAACAGAAAATCAAAATAATATCATTTTGACGTCATATTGATTAAATTTGGAGTTCAAATTTGGTCAAAATGACGTCAAATTGACATTATTTTGACTTTTCTGTTCTACTTGGGTAGATAAATTATGTTACAAAATATATTTGTTAAAATAATTCACAAATAATAGTATTAAAATTTGTCTTAGGCGAGACTGATTGGAAGATTATTGTAATTGATGTTAATGATCCTGTGGCAAATCAAATGAATGGTAAATATCATATACATTTTAATTGTTTACTTATTTAAATGAGTAGTATTTATTTAAATAAGTAAAATATATAATAAGTATTTAAATTATTTATTTAAATATTCATTATATATATTACCTATGTATTTATTATATTATACAATATTACATATACAAGGTGTCCGGTAACTAACGGACCAATGATTACAAATGGATTCTTTGGTCAATTTGGGAACGATTTTTCCTCAGCGAAAATGTCGAAAAAGGTCATTATTTTTTACAACTTTCCAATATTTGTCATTATGTATCTTTATAACTAATTGTAAGCCTCAAATTAAAATTTTATTACAGTAAACTCTACCTGAAATTAACCAAAGAATGTAATTATGTTAGACTTTTAACTCCAAAACGTTTAATTTTCAAAAAACCCATTTTTTCAATCGCTTATAACTCGAAAATTATTGACTTCTCAACATTTTTGCTAAGGAAAAATTGTCTCCAAATTGGCCAGAGAATCCGCCCTTAATTATTAGTCCGTTAGTTACTGGACACCCTGTATATCTATTTTATTTATATATCTGATATATATATATATATATATATATATATATATATATATATATATATAATATGTGTACACCTAACACACATACACATATACAAACACACACATAAAGCTATATCCAAAATTAATAGGTACTATTTATTAATATATTTAAAAAAAATTTTTTTTAAACTAATTTGTAGATAACATATACATGGATCTTAATTAGTTTCAAAATCATTTTTTATGTTGTGCTATCTTGGAACTAATTGCCTAACTTACATTTGCAATGATTATTGTAAATTTCTGAATGGCCGTTTTTATTTAGGAAATTAATATATCAGATTCAAATAGCAAGTTTTGATCAATTGTTGTGGCAGTATTACTCATAAGAAAGTTTTACTATATTTATTAAACCTCTAAAATATCATTGTAATATCACTTATCAGAGCTCCTTTTGAATTTTTCACTGATTTTAGGTTCGAATTTCCTAAGAATAACATTACTTTTTTTAAACAGATTTCTACTGTTGTTGTGTTTGCATGTCTTTCTAACTTTTTTAGATACTTTCAATGTAAATTTTCATCTTTTTTAATCGATGTTTTTATAAGTCTAGATAGGTGATTATAACAATCCTCGTTACTGTAAGATTTTAAAGATTTACACTGTTGAATTTAGTGTTTTCTGCAACATCCACAGTTGGTCTGGATTGCTAAATGTTATTGTTCAGTGTAACTAACTATAAATGTTTTCATTGATTCTCACATGTCTGTCATACTGTTTTGAACAATAAATGTCCTTTTTTCTTAAAGTACAGAAACTTCCAATCCTTGTAGACAATTGTGTGAGACCTCTAGGATTTTCTATAGTATTTCTGAAACTTAATTTGAAATCTACATGTGAGTTGATGATCAGATCCAATATTAGAGCGGGGAGGAATTTCGCAGAACTTAATTACTCGTTCTTCATCGGTTGTCGACAATAAAATTTGTTTAATTATAGTATCTATCACAGTGTTACTTCTAAATGTAAAAAGTCTTATAGTATATTGGTATATTTTGATATGAAAATAGGATATTTGTGATATTTACTATCATCAAGTTGTCTAGACAAAATTGGATTATAGACATTGACTTCTTCTATTACTTTCGCCGAGTTGAAATTGATCAACAATGTGGCGAAGATGATTATCAAGAACTATTAATCACACTTGAGTTGAAGTTGCCCATTGATGACAATTTCCTTGTTAGGAATATATTGAAGTGCGGATTCCAGGTCCGTATAAAAAGCTTTATCGTCGTCAGTGCTTGTTGGAGCACAGACTTAGATTAGATAACTTGGAACTTCCATTGAGCTAGTTCTTATAATTTGATGGAGAGATAAATTATTCTATCATTTATAATTTTGTACCCAAAAATAGAATTAATGTATTTACAATGTAGTTTCAATTGACGTCATTTTTGCTGTGGATTTATAAGGCTCCTGCACACTCGATTGCCAAGTCCGCGTTGATAGTGACGATTTAATTCAAAACGGTGGAAATAAGAAACTATTTGTTTTATTGATAAAAGATGTACAATAATGAACGAAAATAATATAATTAATAAATATGATTTTGTTTATTAATAAATAAGCATAAATGTCATTTTAGCAAGTTAAATTATTCTTACGACTTATAGCGTTATTTTTCATTTTACTGCAGTGTTTTTATGTTTAAAATAATTGTTGTGGTGTTCAAATATACCGAAGACTTCCGTTTTGGCATAATTTAATATATGAAAGCAAATATTTAATTTCGATACCTGTCAAACAGCTGGTTTTCGTCCTTGGTTAGGCTCAATTCAATTCGACATGTATGTATGTTTATTGAATATCCAAATAAAAGGAGAATTTTTGGTATATTTTACATGTCTACTCTATCAATTTCAAACGCTATGTTATTGAAAAACTTTTATTTTAACGTAAGTCGCAAGAATTTTCATGATATATTTTCTCGCTTCTGATGTCACAATCCAAGATGGCTGCGGTGAGTATGCAGGAGCCTTAAGGCTATTGGGTCCTCGTCGTGGCTGTGTTAGATTGTGACGTCAGAGGTGAGAAAGAATGAAAATTCTTAGATGCCATTTTTTAATTAAAAGATATTTCGATGAGGCACTATTTTAGCTTTTGACAGTCGATCAACAACCGTAAGAATTTTTAGCGTGTGTTTTCTCACCTTTGACGTCACAATTCTAATATGGTCGGCGAAGAGCCAGGACCAAGGTGTTCCTAATAGGTTTTTGCTTTCTAAGTTGCGAGGCTCCTGGAATCTATGATAAGCATAAGAATTGATTCATTTCTTTGAATAGAATTATTCTAGAAGAATTCCTATTCGCTACTCGGTATTTTGAGTCACATACTAAAGAATAAAAAAATTAGTCTTCTTATTTTGAGTTAATAATTTTGGGTATAGCTGTATAAAGAACATAGTAAGAATCTTACTGTCTTACTATGAATCAGCATATTAATTAAAAGAAAAAATATATACATATACACATAAAAAACAAATATCTATTATAAAATTATTATTATAAAAAATCTGCATTATTTATTATTAATTATGTATTATTATTTTTAAAATATGTATTATTTTATTTTCTTTAATTTATTATAAAAATTTTAGTATAATTTCTTGAATATGCGCAGAGTTCAAATAAATGAATTGTAAAATAAAATATACTTATATAAACATCTAATCTTTAATACAAATTATTACAGATGTAACCGATATCGAGAAATATTGTCCAGGTTTATTAAAAGCCACAATTGAATGGTTTAAGATATATAAAATTCCAGATGGAAAGCCAGAAAATCAATTTGCATTTAATGGTGAAGCAAAATCACGAGATTTTGCATTGCATATTATTGATGAAGTGCATCAACATTGGCAAAATTTAATAAAACAGGAAGCTTCAACAAATGGAATAATATGGTTTATAAATTTTTTATAAATTATGTTTTACATAGCTTTAGTACAATCGCGAATGACGTGACTTGTATAAAAATAAGTGGAAAATATAAGAACATAGAATAAAATGATTTTAGATAAGATTTTGTTTTCGAGAAAATTAACTGTGAAAAAATACTTAAAATTATGTATGTCGGTTAAAATGATATTGGTATACTCGTAGTTATACCATTATGATAGCTTTATAGAGATTTCATAGAAATAAATAAGCAAAATAATGATTTTAATTAAAAATAAAACATTATGAATGTTTAAGTACAAAAGTTACAATAAGCAAAATAATTATGTTAATTGGAAACAAAACACATTACCAATGTTTAAATCCAAAAGTTAAGTAAAAATATCAACTTAAAGAAATATTCAACTGACTATGAATTCAATCAAGTACGTATTCAATAAATTACAAAAATTAATTTTCTCGAAAATAAAGCTTGAATATACATAATAAAAAATTTATTATATATTCATTTTTGCATGAGTACGAAATCACACGTCATTCATTGTACAAATTATTATCGTCACATATAATACAAATATTAGGTCCTTGAATAAGTTCTCGCTGTTTTTTTTGTTAAAAAAAACATTTATTTAAAATATAAGGCTTACAATAACTTTACTCAAAGTATTGTCCATCATTAGAGACCACACAGCAATGCCTCCAATTCTTCGTCTTCAAACTTTGTCGGTGCTCCAGAACGTTCTTTATCTTCAAGGTCAAAGTCATTATTTTTAAAGCGCCTAAACCAGTCTCTGCATGTCGTATTCGACAGAGCATTGTCACCATATGTTTCAACAAGAATTCTGTGTACTTCAGCTGCAGATTTCTTTTGAATAAAGCAGTGCAATAAAATTCCCCGCAAAAACACTTTATTTGGCACAAAAGTAGACATTTTCGCAATAGGTAATTAAACACGAGGTTGACACTGTGGTAAACTGTATCTACTAGAATTTGAGGTTACATATAGTACTATTTAGCTGATGCGTTTCCGTACGAAATTCCATGCACAGAGTGCCGCTACGCCATCTTTTAAGAAACAGCGAGAACTTATTCAAGGACCTAATATATGTATAAGCTAATATGACATATTGTACAAAAATATGCCATTTTATTCTTCTCCCCTTTCTTATTTTTGATTATAGAACAAAATGCTTCAGACAAAAAATATTTGATTTGAAAAGGGGAAGAAGCTACTGAATTTTTTCTAAAGGACGCTTTTCAAAATTATATTTTTCAAATGAAATCTTTATAGGTTTTTTATATAAATCGATTCTTCACAATATTTGACATAAAAATTTATAAAGATAAGATCACTAAAAAGTGAATAGTTTACAAGATATGTTATACTTTAGTTTATTTTCATATAAACTATGATATATATCTCATAAAATATTTATTTTTCAGCGATCTTATCTTATGATACTTTTATTTTATGTATAAAATAATGAAAAGAATCAATTGGTATAAGAAAATTTGTTCTACAATCAAAAATAATTTTTTGGAAGGAGTAAATTAAAATGGGACACTGTATATGTATATACAGGGTAAGTCAATTTTAATCAACACACGTAAATATCTCGTATAGTAAGCAAGGTGGAAACAAATGTCTCAAACAAAAGTTTTTTTGACTATGAGGAGAACATAAGATGGTGTCATTGATTTGAACTGAACATTTTACAAGATATTTTACATTTTATGCCAAAAATTGTAAACTTTAAACTTTTATAATATGAAAAGTACGTCATCAAACAACACTTTATTATAGAATTTTGGAAAGTTCTTTAAATGAGCTATAAGAATATGTAATGAAAAATAGCAGGTTTCATTTAAGAAATTGAAGGTGACCTTCACGTGACCTTTAAATGATTATACAAGGTCAAATCAATAACACCATTTTGTGTTCCCCTCATAGTCAAAAAACTTTTGTTCGAAACATTTTTTGCCATCTTGCTTACTATACGAGATATTTACGTGCGTTGATTAAAATGGCTCACCCTGTGCGCGCGTGCGCGTGCGCGTGCGCGTGTTGGTAAGAGCAGTCGCCCGGAAAGTGAAAGACGCGGGTTCGATTCCCGCTTCAGCAACTTTTCGGACTTATATTTTTCTCGCCTATTTTCTCCATATGTAAGTTCGAGATTAATTTATATATGGAACTTAGTAATCTCAAACCAAGAGATACAGTACCGAAGAATTAATTTTTCGCGCTTGGGCTCTATTGGCCGATTTAAAATGTGTTATTCTTAATATTGAGAGCCGACAAAAATATTTCTTATTTAATATATATATATATATATATATATATATATATATATATAACATAATACACGGTGCGCCGCAAAGCGGAAGGAGCGAACGATGACTGTCTACGAATCGTTTTCGAAAAATCTTCGTGTATCGTGTTACAGTAGGACGTCTCTTCTCGTCGCGCGCTTCTATTCGCGTGGATTGGCCGATCTTTTTATTTAATAATTCAATAATTATTATGTAAATCGCAAAACGGTAGAGGACTTTCCTATTCGGTTTAACTTACTTTACCTGCACACGACGATTGAGGCGACAATCACCGGATACCCTGTATATATATATATATATATATATATATATATATATATATATATATATTTATTTCGTAGACTTGACATCGTACAAAAATATTTTCTACAAAATTTATAGGATTTTAAGAGAAAAAAGTTGATCTTGAATTTTAAGTAAGGTAATTTTTTTAAGATTATATAAAAATTAATCAAAGTTTTTTTTAAATGGAGTAATTACATTAATATTTTTATATAAATTGATTCGGCAAAATGCTCGGTGTAAAAAATTATAAGGAGAGGATGGTCAAAAAATGAATAGTTTATAAGAGATATTTTGTAATTTTGATATAATTTTACATAAGCTATGAAATATCTCGTAAAATATTCATTTTTCGAAGATTTATTTCTCAGTATTTTTATGCAGACAATACTGGGAAAAATTAATTGATGTAAAGAAAACATAGAAAACATCTTTTTAAGAAAGAAAGTAATTGTTTGTTGCAAATTATATTCTTTATATGTACACATACAGATACATATATTAATTTTTTAATTTTTGCAGTTCTAATGTAAGTGTGGAGGACAGCTCTTTTAAGATTACCACAGAAGCTGCTGAAGAGGTTTTAAGGAAAGCACCTGAGCCGTTAGAACCTCAATCTGTAGAACCGATAGGTAAGTCATGCAAATAGCATGATAGAAATATATAAAATTTTATTTTATATAAATTGTTATTTTTTATTTATTTAGTTATTTATACATATATAATGATATATATTTAATGCTATAATTTTTTTATAGTTGACAAACGTTATTTTATACATCCCAAACTGTAACAGGAGTTATAATGTGTACAATTTAGTTAAATATTCGAGTTATATGTGTATACTATTACTTCTTGTTGCATGTTAATTAAAATTTTTATTGACTTAATTATTTGTCGTATTTTAGTTACTGAAATGTTATAATGTATATGATTTCAGTTGATAAATGGCATTATATACATCTTAAATGAAGATAAGGTGGATATCTTTATTTACATGAGTCAACTTTATATTGAAGTCAGCATCTGTTTTGTTCACATTCAACATGGCGTTCTTTCCCTATTTATCATTTTCATGTTTCCGACAGTATATTAATTGACATATTGAAATGTACTTTTAAATAGTATTTAAACAATTTGATATATATACATATCTATATATCTATATGTGTAATTTTATACAGAGTCAACTTATTATTTTTTGTAAGCTTTTTTTAAATGATGTATTAAATGTGCGAGTAACGTATTTTTGTATAAATCGATGATATAAAAACATTCAAGTGTTTCAAACAAGCTTTGCATATATATTTTTATTTATGACACTGCATTTATAATACTCGTACATTTAAATTACAAAACAAATATAATCTTATTATTGGTTGTGATGCAGTCATTTTAAACAAATCGATAAAATAATATAATTTGTTTTCTCTTCAATAATTTGTTAGAAATAATATAATAACAAAGAATAAAATTAGCCTCTGCATATTGATGTGTATATTTTTCCCATAAGTTATCTCATTTTATATTATTTTTATCAAATAAATATATTTTATACAATTATCTATATATATATATATATATATATATATATATATATATAATTTTTTATATACAGGGTGAACCATTTTAATCAACGCATGTAAATATCTCGTATAGTAAGCAAGATGGTAAAAAATGTTTTGAACAAAAGTTTTTTGATTATTAGGGGAACATAAAATGGTGTTATTGATTTGACCTTGTATAATCATTTGAAGGTCACCTTAAATTTCTTAAATGAAACCTGCTATTTTTCATTACATATTCTTATAGCTTATTTAAAGAACTTTCCAAAATTCTATAATAAAGTGTTGTTTGATGAAGTACTTTTCAAATTATAAAAGTTTAAAGTTTTTTTTTTACAATTTTTGGCATAAATGTAAAATATTTTGTAAAATGTTCAGTTCAAATCAATGACACCATCTTATGGTCTCCTCATAGTCAAAACATTTTTGTTTGAGACATTTTTTTCCATCTTGCTTACTATACGAGATATTTGCGTGCGTTGATTAAAATGACTCACCCTGTATATTATATGTATATATATATATGTATATATATATGTATATATATATATATAATATATATATATTATATTTATATATTTATATATTATTTATATTATATATTTTATATACATATATATTTTTATATATTTATATTTTTTGTATTTTTAAAATTTATATTTAATAGCGATGTTCTCTGCCTACTATTAGTGCGGTCCGGTTTGCGCTACAAGTACTACGGAGCGTTTGTAGCAGCGCTACGGTTGGTTTATTTTGCGCTATAAAATGCTACAGCAAACCTTATGATGTCATAAAATACGTTATTATATTCGCTACCAAGACGCTTCAAATGCCTCTCCTTATGAGGTGGGTTAGCTGTAGTGTTATAGAAATTTGGTATCCATGAACAATTGTAGTACATACATAAGAAGAGTTGTAATACTATTAAGAAATTTAAAATGGAATTACAATTGCTTGATGAAAAAACTGATAACATATTTATGTTACATGTGACAGAAGAAGAATATGCTCGTGCTACACGACTACAAGTGTTATAACCTGGTCCATTTGCTTAGTAATTGTAGCACCTGTAGCGTTCGTGGACCATATGTTTGATGGTACTTGGAGCGTAGCGGTCAGAGCATTTGATAGCGCATACCGGACCGCACTACATATGGTTCTGTATTTTACGTTGCAAATATATTAATAATAATTAATAATTAATTAATTAATAGTTATTAATAATTTATAATTATTAATATTTAATTATTAATTATTAAAAATATGAGACGTATCTTTCTCTCTTTCTCCCCCCTCTCTCCCTTCCTCTGTCAATCAAGATTCTTATGCTTACGCTTATGCGTCTATGCAAAAGTGTGTGCTCCTCGCTTTAAGGTGACATTCAACTTTATGTGGTATTCCTGATTCTCCTGTTCCTTGTCCGGACTGAAGTGTTTCTTGGCTCCGTCAGGTGTTCTCGACTCTTCATATGCATTCCTTTTCTTTCAGGGTGGCTAAAATAAAGCGTGACGAATTTTTATCTCCAAAAATATTGGTTCTAGAGAAAAATGTTTTAAATTAAAGTTGTAAGATTTCGAAGGGGGAAAAAGTTGGCGCTACTGACATTTTATCTAAAGAGTGATTTTCAAGGTTATTTGAAGGTCATTTATGTTATTTTAAATGAAACCACCATATTTTTTTACATAAATCGATCTTCTCGTAAGATTCTGAATAAAAAGTTATAAGGATAGAAATCAAAAAGTGTATAAAATAATAAAATATTTAATTTTTGACGATCTTCAATACTTTCATGCACAAAATAATAAGAGGAATCGATTGGTGCAAATAGCTAGAAGACACATAGTTGTTTACAAGAAAAAGTAATTTGAAACTAACAGTTTTTTATAAATAACTATGTGTTTTCTTTACACAAATCGATGTTTATTATTATTTTGTGCATAAAAGTATTAAGATTATCGGAAAATGAATATTTTACAAGGTAAATTTAATAGTTTATGTAAAATTGTATGAAATAAACTTAAGTATGAAATATTTTGTAAACTTTTCACTTTTTGACGCTTTTACCTTTATAACTTTTTATGCAGAATTTTATGAGGAATCGATTTATGTAAAAAAATATAATTCCATTTAAAATTGAAAATAACAAATAACCTTCAAACGACTTTCAATCACCCTTTAGAAAAAAGTCAATAATGCCAATCCCCCTTCGAATTTCTTTCCCCTTCGAAATACTACAACTTTTATTTGAAATATTTTTCTCTGGAAATAAAATAATTTTAAAGATAAAATTTCACGCTTTATTTTGATCACCCTGTAGGTATGCTGCCGTTTACCATAGTCTGTAAATAACACACCATCTTGTATACAGAGTGTCCCAGAATTGATAATAGAAAAAAAATAGGTATATTCTACAAGTCAAAAGAAAGTAAAATTGCCCTATAAACATATGTCCGGAAATGCACCCCCTTTGAGCTACACTTCTTCAAAGTTTTCTTAAAAAACTTGAATTTTTCGTATATTGTCTAAATTTGAACTTGAATTTTATGAAAATTGGTACATACACATTTCCTTGTGTGTTTTATTCATTTTTGTTGTCAAAAATTGTCTAACAAATATTCTCAGGGGATTTTAAGGGAGGGGGCGAACATTTTAATATGACAAAACTTAAGTCCCTTGCACAATGCCAGCCAACAGGCATTAGGAACAAGAAATAGAAAATATCTACCAATAAAAGCAGAGAATAATATCTGTCTCCTTTTCCGATTGATTGATATTTTCTATTTCTTATTCCTATTGCCTGTTGCCTGACATTGTGCAAGGGCCTTTATGTGTGGATGCAATAAATTTGAAATACATTAACAGTTTATGGCGGAAAATACATAAATAAGCATTTTTTGACTTTAATTTTCTTCATACGACAAACCATTTTTGAGATAATCGAACTAACAATAAAGACGCCTGTACCTGTACCCCTACGCCTCATCCTACGGGCAAGTTTTGCGCAACTATGTAGTTCGCGCGCAGAGCACCATCCGCTTAATTTTTGACAATAAAAATGAATAAAACGTACAAGAAAATGTGTATGCACTAATTTTCATAAAATTCTAAGTTTAAGTTTAGACAATATACAGAAAACTTGAATTTTTTGAGAAAACTTTGGAGGGATGTAGCTCAAAGAGGATGCGTTTCCGGACATATGTTTATAGGACAATTTTACCTTCTTTTGACTTGTAGAATATACCTATTGTTTTCTACTATCAATTCTGGGACACCCTGTATATAGTTGTAAGTAATGCACCTTGTAAATATCATCGCTTCCTATAGTAACTAAAGTAGCGTATCGCTATAAAAGGGAGAGAAAAGAGATGACGTATATAAATAAATCAGATAATAAGAATGACCATCCTATTGATCTTTTTTTTCTTATTAGGAAATTTATCATTTAAGTACTCGCAATTTCTTTGAGCAGATGCTCCGTGTTGAAACTAGATTTCATTATGTTCATTCAATTCAGCAACGTGCTCTATTGATTAATATAAATGAAAAAGGATCAATATTACGCCGTAATTATTTCAATGTTGTCACTGATTCCAGCCTATCGATTTAATTTTGCTATGTATAAATTGTAATAATTCAATGGAAATTTTTATCTACCTAAAATCTACAATAATTATGATGATTAACATTTCTATTAAGCTGAAACGTTGTTTCATAGAAAAAAACTATATTTGTCAAAAAGTGAGGATTTGGAGTGTCTATTTTCTCTGTATATATTTTTTTCTTCACAATTTTAAAGATTTAAAAATCTTCTGATCAATGGAGATGTTTTGCGATCTTACAAACAGATAAATACTCAATAAACTGCACTCCTACAGCACGAAATATTTGCTTAAATTCTGTATAAATATTGCAATATTGTGCTATTTTACAAATAGTGCAACGACAATATTATATAAGTGCAAATATTATAAGTTAATATTTTAGTAGAAATATTGCAAAATATTACTGCTATTATACATATATAATGCAATCACATATATATCTTATAATATATTAGTTTCTTTATTTACTGCTCTGCAACGGCGCGATGCGTTATCTATCTCGTATTTAGTAAGTTTCAAGTGAGAACTATATAATGCACAAAAAAGTAATATTAGGATTAATTATTTTTATCAGTAATTTTTCTGAATCGATTCAAACACAGGGATTTTATAAGTATATTGAATTAATTATTGAAAAATCGGACAGATAAATGTCCGACTAAATAAAAATCGAAAATATAAGAAATATTATATAATATTATATTCACGTTACAGAAATATATCAAGTAAGGTAGTAGATATTAAACTGACTACACTGGCTGTCTATTAGATTTGTTAAACTATATTTATTGACGTTTCGACCATACGGGTTGTGGTCCTTTTCAAAATTACAATAGAAGCATTCTAGAAATTAATGTACATGCAATCAGAATCAACATTTAAATTGAAAACGTGAAATGTAACAAGTGAGACTTACAATGAGTTACTGCATATCGTTATTGACATTTAAAAGTACGCTCCGGTGAGACTTAACTTAAGATCGGATGGTAAATTAACTTCGTTTCACTTGTGTCATCTTGCCACGACTGAGCACACTGTACTAACGAATAAACACGCCGAAAATTATGTCAAAGTTAAAAGTTAACAATATTTACATTCTCGCTGAATTGTGATGTACCATATGGCAAATTACTAAAATAAAATATAAAAAATAAAAAATAAAATATAAAAAGTATAAGATAATAAAAAGATAAATAAATAAATAAATAGAT